CAAAAAAAAAAAAAAAAAACCAAGAAGAAAAAAATTATAAAAGCTCTCTCTTGAATATACAGGCACCTCCTGAACAGGGAGGTGGTTGAGTGGAGGTCCTGGAAGGTGAGACTGGAGATCCTGGGACTTCGGTGTGCTCAGGGTCTGGACCTCAGTGATGCACTTTGTCACAAGTAGCCATCTGCATCCACTGACTTATATGAGGGAATCTGGGGAAAAATCAATGATATGGTTTGGCTGTGTCCCCACCCAAATCTCATCTTGAATTTTAGCTCCCATCATACCCCCATGTTAAGGGAGGGACCCAGTAGAAGGTAAATGAATCATGGGAGCCAGTTCTTCCCATGCCGTTCTCATGATAGTGAATATGTCTCATGAGATCTGATGGTTTTATAAAAGGGCAGTTCCCCTGCACACACTTTATTGCCTGGTGCCATGTAAGATGTGCCTTTGGTCTTCCTTTGCCTTTCATCATGATTGTGAGGCCTCCCCAGCCATCCTAAACAGTGAGTTCATTAAACCTCTTTTTAAAATAAATTACCCAGTCTCAGGTATGTCTTTATCAACAGCATGAGAATGGATGAATACAACCAACTTCAATAGCTTAAGTGGGTCCAGTCACCACTCCAGAAGATACAGGATTATAAACCGGGCCGGGCGTGGTGGCTCACACCTGTAATGCAAGCACTTTGGAGACCAAGGCAGGCAGATCACCTGAGGTCGGAAGTTCAAGACCAGCCTGACCAACATGGTGAAACCCCATCTTTAAATAAATAAATAAATAAAGTAAAAATAAAGGATTATAAACCATGGCAGCATCCACACAGTGTTAACTCAGCATATGTGCAGAGTATGTGAGCTGCGGGGCTATGGTGCCCTCCACCTAGATTTCAAAACATGTGTTGAACAGCCAGGAGCCCTAGGCAGAAGTTTGTCACAGAGGTGGAGCTACTGCAAAGACCCCCACTGCCATCTTACATGGCACCAGGGCAATGCCTAATGGAGCTGCAAGAGTGGGGCCACCTCTGAGACCCAACAACCGTAGAGTTGTTTGTTTGTTTGTTTTTTGAGACAGAATCTTGCTCTGTTACCAGGCTGGAGTGTAGTGGCGCGATCTTAGCTTACTGAAGTCTCCACCTTCTGGGTTCAAGCAATTTGTTAAGTGTGACTTAACAAAGTTGGGGTCCTTAACATCTCATAACATGGCTAATGCAACAGTTTACATCTCCTTTATTCTTTCATTTCTTTAGTGTGCCCCACATTCTAGCATCTGATAAATATCTTTAAGCATCAGATTTATCATATCATTTCCCTTCCGAAAAAAGTCATAATCACTTGTAATAAAATGAGAGATTGATTACAAGACTATTGACATGGCATTTCAAAACCCCAAAAGTATAACCCTTTAATCTAGCTTTTATTTTTTTATTTTTTATTTTTACTTTTTTTGAGACAGAGTCTTGCTCTGTCGCCCAGGCTGGAGTGCAGTGGCACAATCTCTGCTCACTGCAACCTCTGCTTCCCGGGCTCAAGTGACTCTTCTGCCGCAGACTCTCGAGTAGCTGGGATTACAGGCATGTGCCACGAATCCCAGCTAATTTTTGGATTTTTAGTAGAGATGGGTTTCACCATGTTGACCAGGCTGGTCTCAAACACCTGACCTCAGGTGATCCACCCACCTTGGCCTCCCAAAGTGCTGGTATTACAGGTGTGAGCCACTGTGCATGGCTGAACTGTAGAGTTAACAATGTGCAATTCCGGCCTGGGAGAGCTGAAGGCACAATACATCAACCCATGAGAGCTTCTGTGTGAACTGAGCCCAGCAGGCACAGCAGCATAGTAACCCTATACTGCTAGCTCTAGAGGGGCAGGGCTGCCCTAGGCTTTGGGGACTCAACCCTCCTAATGTGTCCAGGTAGCAGCGCAGCAAATAAAAGATTATTCTGGAGTCTTAAGATTTAATTTGTCTGCCTTTCTGGGTTTTGGACTTACTGTGGACCTCTTACTTCTTTCTTTTGGCCTATTCCTCCTTTTTGAAATGAAAATGTTTGCTGGGAACGGTGGCTCATGCTCGTAACCCCAGCACTTTGGGAGGCTGAGGTGGGTGGATCGCCCGAGGTCAGGAGTTTGAGACCAGCCTGACCAACATGGTGAAACCCCATCTCTACTAAAAATACAAAAAATTAGCCAGGTGTGGTGGCTGGCACCTGTAATCTCAGCTACTTGGGAGCCTGAATCAGGAGAATTGCTTGAACCCAGGAGGTGGATGTTGCAGTGAACAGAGATCACACCATTGATCTCCAACCTGGGCAACAAGAAACACTGTTTCACAAAAAAGAAAAGAAAAGAAGAAAAGAAAGAAAGAAAGAAAAGGAAGGGAGGAAGGAAGAAATAATCTATCCTATATCTGTCTTACCATTGTATTTTGGAAGCACATCACTTTATTTTTATTATTATTTCACAGGCTCACAGCTGGAGGAAAATTTGCCTCAGGATGAATTGTGCCATGGGTCTTACCCATATCTGATTTAGATGAGACTCTCAACTTTAAACTTTTGACTTGGTCCTGAGACAAGTTAAGACTTTTGGAGCTATTGGGATGTAATTAATGTATTTTGCATGTGAGGACATGAATTTGGGTAGTCAGGGGCAGGATGCTATGGTTTGAATGTATCCCCCAAAGCTCATGTATTGGAAACCTAATCCCCAATACAACAATGTGGAGAGGTGGGACCTTTAAGAGGTGATTAGGTCACGAAGACTCTGCCTTAATGCATTAATGCAGTTATTGTGGGAGTGGGGTTGGTTCATCATCACACAAGTGGGTTCCTTATGAAGGATAAGTTTAGCCCCTTTCCTGCCCTCTGTCACCATGTGATGCTTTCTGCCACTGTTTAACAGAGCAGGAAGGCCCCCACCAGATGTAGCCCCTGTACTTGGACTTCCCAACCTCCAGAACCCTGAGCCAAATAAATCCCTGTTCATTATAAATTATCTGTTACAGCAGCACAGAATGGATGAAGACATGTGCCTCTGAATGACTCACCCTGGAGAGAAGAAATGGGTTTAAACTGCAGATTTTTTAGTGTTTCCCAGTGCTTTGAATCTAAATCCCTACATGTCTAAATCTCTCATTATCTGATTTTTAACAACTTTCCTGGTTATTCTTAAGCACATTAAAATTTGAGAACAGGCCAGGCGCAGTGGCTCACATCTGTAATCTCAGCACTTTGGGAGGCTGAGGCGAGCAGATCATGAAGTCAGGAGCTCAAGACCAGACTGGCCAACATGGTGAAACCCCATCTCTACTA